AGGTTCATGTTTAGGAAGTACAAGAGTGAGCCAGGGAGAAAGGGAGGAGGAAAATGGCTGCTATGTTTCAGTTTGGGCATTTTGTTGGGTTGTCTTGCCAAAAGGCAGTGCTCTCAAGACTTGTTTGGAGTTTTGTGATTGTCTGGTTCCTGTGCAGAGAAGCCCAGTGTTCCCTAGAGATGCATCAAATTTCCCTAAAAGCTTTCCATGAGTGGCTGCTGCATACCCCTTCTACTATGTTGAGGAGGCAGTGTGGTTAATTGCAGGCATTACCTAGGGGATACATGTGGAGGCAGCTGTCATTTGGGAATGGGTGTGGAAAATTTAATAATTGATTCAATTTCTGGGTTTGCCTAGTTATTCTGTTTTATTAAATGCCTTTGCTTTGAATTCATGATCAATTGGTTTATGCTTGTAAAAGATTCATTGCTGAAAGCTTATTGTAGTAAGATTTTGAATAGATAATTCCTTTAACAATACCCCAAACCTAGGTGTAGCTAAGAAGGTTGCCCTGGGTACTACATTCCCATTCTCAGGTAGTATTTGGCTTTCAAGGCATTCTACTCAACTAACAAAATTAGCAAAGAAATAATGCCTTGCTCTACCTCCCCTGCCAATCCAGCAAGGAAATAAAAAAAAATTCAGAAAATTATGGAAGAGATAGAAAATTGAAAACATGCAAAAAAAAAAAGTCCACATCGACTTCATAAATAAAACTAGCTTTGAAAAACCTAATAAAATAGATATAATTGCTAATTTAATTTTAAAAAGAAACAGGAAGACCAAATTACCAAAACAAAAAATGAGAATTCATAACAGATGAAGTAGGAACAAAGGAAATTGTTAAATAGCCTCTGTCCAGTTGTATGTCAACAAAACTGAGAATTTAAGTGAAATGGATGAACATTAAAAACTTGTAACATACTCATATTAACAGAAGAAGAAATAGAGACTTACTTAACCTAATCTCAAAAAAAAAAGGAAGAAAAGACATTGGAAAAGTCATAAACTAACTCCCAAAGGGGCAAAAAAACCCCAAGCCTCGATGTATTTCCAAATGAATCATATCAATAATTAAAGAAAATTAACTCCAGTATAACATAAATCATTCACAAAAATAGAGGAAGAAGTTATTCTATCAAACTCCTATGAGACAAATATGATCTTCGAACCTAAAGCTGAGAGTGAGAAAGAAAAGACAGAAAATGAATGTTGATATTAATATAATGAATATTGATATAAATTATTGAATGAAATATAAGCAAAGAGTCTATAATAATTCATTTAAAAGATTATACACTTTGGCCAGGAGGGATTTACATGAGGAATTTAGGGTTGGTTCAACATGAAGGAAGCTGTAAGCATAATAGACCATATTAATAACACAAAAGATATAATTCAGATGACCATCTATACAGGTGAAGATTTCAACCCCCCCCCCAAAATGCACTTACTAAAAACATTAAAAAGCATTGGAATCAATGGACATGTATGTAAATTCAAAAGTAAGCACTTTCTGTCATGGAGAAAGAGAAGTCTGTCCAGTAAGGTCAAGGATGAGCAAGGATGCCCATTGTTACTCATTACTATTATTTGGTATAGTGTTAGAAATTCCAGCCATTGTTTCTTTTTTAAAATTTTTTTCTTTTTATTGGCAAGGCAATGGGTGAAGTGACTTGCCCAGGGTCACACATCTAGTAAGTGTTAAGTGCCTGAGGCCGGATTTGAACTCAGGTCCTCCTGACTCTGGGACCAGTGTTCTCTCCACTGTTCGACCTGGCTGCCCCTAGTTGTTGGAATAAAACAAGAAAAAGAAACAGGGAATAAGCACAGGTAGAGAAGAAAAAACATTGTCATCTTTTGAAGATATTATGAATGTTAACTGAGAGAACCTGAGATTCAATCAAAAACAGTCAGTAAAATAGCAAAATAAATGTAATAAAACAAGCAAATAAACAAATTAAATATTACTTTAAGTTTAACATACAATTAAAAACAAACTACATATAATAGAAGTTCACAATTTTATGTGATTCTCTTTTTCTCTTCTTTGTATATCAGATTTTTCTATAAGTTTGTATTTGTTAAAGTTGTACTTAAAAAAACAAAAATTCAAAAAATGAGATGGCCTGGAGATGTATTAGGGTAACAAGAACTTAAAATGAATCACCTGTATCTGTGGTAAGAGACAGAGATCCTATAATAGATTTCAACTGAGGGAAACTTGAACTTTAGGAGACCACCGTCTCTGGTAAAGATTATATTTCCTAGGACTGCGATCCTATTCTAGGAGAGAGTATATATAAACCCGAAAGTGTATCCAACACCCAGAGTAGTGTGGGGTGGGAGGTGGGGGACACAGAAGTAGAGATAGGATAACCTGAATGAAGAGTGATCATTGTAAGGGTAAAAGGTGGAATTGGGCCTCATGACTTAGTATACAGAGTGACTCCCATCACATGACACTTTTTCCATTCAGCATCAATATGGTAAGCTCCCAAGAGAGAGAAAGGAAAGGGGCAGCTCCAGTATACTTAAAAAGAATAAAATGGTTCAGGTTAAAAAGAGAGCAAGTCAAAGCTTCTGGATGCTGATCAGCAGTGAGATCAGGACACAACTGGCCTCTACACTTTTAAATGTGAGTGACTTTGGGAGACTTAATTTCTAAAAAAAAAAAAAGAAAGAAAGGAAAAAAGATTAAAAAAAAAGGAATAGTTTGAGAGAAAATTTTGAAGACTTGTATGAACTGATGCAGAGTAATGTGAGCAGAATTAGAACAATTTATATAATAAAAATGACATTTTAAAGACAAAATAGTTCAAAAGACTTAAAAACTTTGATCAATTCAAAGACCAACCATGATTCCAGAAGACCAATGATGATGATGAGTGTTACCCACTTCCTGATAGGGAGGTAACAATGCAGACACAACAAGCAGAATGAAATGTTCATTTTTGGACATGGCCAGTATGAGAATTTGGTTTGCTTGATTATGCATACTTGTTAGAAGAGTTTGTTTTTCTTTCTCTTTTTCAATGGTGGGGAAGAAGAGAAAATAAATTCTAGTTAATTGAAAAAAAATCCAGATATTTAAAAAGAAAACAAGTTATTGGACAAGGACAAACATTAAATATAGGTACTTTAGAAGCATTCTGAAGTTTCCTTCCTTTCCCACCGCTCCTCCTTCTCATTTCCCTTTTTCTCTTTAGGCTGTGTATTACAAAATAATGTTATGATAGTATTTTAGTCTGAAGTCCTCTGTCTAATCTGAATGAGGAACTTTATCAGTCTTTAACTATCAATTCCAAAACAATGTCCTGCACTGAAATATTTTTGCATCCTTCTTGTCAAAGGCCTAGCCAATTTGTAAACAGAGAGGACTGGTCAGGCCAGGAAGGTTTCCTCCCTGAAGTAATTAGGCACAAAAAGAAAGAAGAAATCTTTGATTAATTCAGTTAGAGGAGTTCTCTCTTGGGATTAGGAGGAGGTGGGCTTAGGGCAAAAGTTAATGAGCTCAGTTTTGGACTTAGTGATTTTGAGGTACTAATGGATCATCCAGGCAGAGGTATAAATTGGAGGGTTCAAGAATGAGCAAATGAGGAAACCGAAGCTCTGAGAGTTTATATAGTTTGGCCAAGGTCACACAAGGTAGTAAAAAACAGACTTGGGATTTGAATCCAGTTCCCATGACTCTAAATTCAGTTTTCTGCCCTTACTTGCTCATCTCTTACAAAATCTTTATAAGAATGGTTTGACACATCCATAGAAGATATCCTTGATGGAAACAATCAGATTACTAGTATTTTTTTTAAGTAGATCACATCTGAAATACAGAAAATATTAAGTCCTGTTGTCCTATTATTTAATGATTTCTTTAAAAAAAATTTCATTCAACAGAGCAAAATGCAGCATTGAAAGCATATTCTTTCAAGAAAGTTTATTTCACAAATACATCAAAATTAGATAAAGCTCCATACCAGATGTGACTACAGAAGTAACTTTAGCAATCCATGGGGTACTGGCATCAAGTAAAGTGTAAAATGGGTAAGACATATGCCCACCTAAAATGTTCAGTTTCCTCATCTGTAAAATGATCTGGAAAAGGAAATGGAAACCATTCCAGTATCTTTGCCAAGAAAACCCCAAATGAGGTCACGGAAAGTCGGACACAACTAAAAAGACTGAACAACAACAAAATATCTGCCAGTATTGTGGAAGATGTTCCAAATAAAATCCAAACAAAACAAGGATCCCTAACGATGGATGGCAAAGCTCTCCAAACACTTTCATTCTCAGCTGATATTTTACGAATTGCATCAAGCCAAAGATGCCTCAGTAAAATTCACAGCAACCTAAGTCAGATCAATTTAACCATCCACTGAGGAAAAGCAATGAACATGAAAAATGTATTTGATCCTGACTATGACATGTAGTAGGATGGGCAACCCCCCCCCCCAAATTAGATCACATATGGTTTTTGCATAAGCAGGCTGTGGTCAATTCAATCCAATTCAATTCAAGTCAACATGCATTTGTTAAGAGTCTACTATGTGGCAGGCACTCTGTACTGGGGATTCAAAGGAAGTCAAAAAATATCTCTCCTCTCAAGTACAGCATGACTCAGCAAGCATTTATGAAGTACCTGCCATGTGCTAGGTTTGGGGGACATAAAAGCAGAAACCAAAATTCCCCACCTTGAGAAGCTCTCAAAAATCCCCAGATGCTTGGGCCATTTTCAAATTTTGAGCTCACAAAAATAAAACAGCACTCCAAAAACTGAGACAAGATTTACCTACTTTATTAAATATATATGCACATATATAAAAATACATATAAACATATATATATACATGTACATACATGTATATCATTTCTAAGCATTTTCTGTGCCAATGCACTAATTATTGATGAAAACTTTGGCTTTCATGCAATGTTATGAGGAGACAAATCAAAGGCCACTGTCATATAGTGTTGATAATCCTTTATCTTTTCCATTCCAGGTCTCCTGTGAGTTCAAGCCAAAGTGATGTCCTCTTCATTGCTCACAACAGCTCAGCTAAACTGAGGTAGAGGCCTTGGTGAAGCGTCTTTGTAGAATTCTTTGGAAGGCTGAAAAACTAGACAAATGTGGTGAACACCCCTGGAGAGATAATTCTATGGAGGTAATAAAAAATGACATGATGCTATATGAAGACATTTTTTTCCCCCAGAAAGAGCAGAGAGGAAATAACTCCTTTACAACTCTTTAAGAAACAAACAAACATGACAGCAGGCTAATGTTGGAATAGACTGCTATATCAAGTGACAATTCACAGTTAATGACCAAAACCTTCAGGCCAAGGTCTTAATAGTCAAAAAATGAAGGCATAGTGGCTATATTCCAACCCGACATACTGGCCTCACAGTTTCTGGCTTCATAAATCACTTATGTGCTCAGGCTATGGAAATATTTCCTTTACTTACCAAATTCATCATTTTCAGAAAACGTATAATTAATTAACACGCTTTTAGTGTAGCAAACTGTGTGAAAATGGGCCCAAACCCGATCCCTCAGCAAATGCCTGTTTTTGTGTGTGTGTGTGTGTTTTTTTTTAGTGATTCCAAGTGGTTTTTGCTCTTGGGGGTTTACCAAGCAGGGCCTAAGGATTGAGCAGAGAGCTCAGCATCTCTGTGCTGTGTCCCTTGTTTTGTCTTTTTCTCTGTACTACAATTTGACAATCATTTATTAAGTTCAAGTTGTACATAAGACATTGTGTGTCCAAAGTCTAATAGAGCTGAATTTAGCATTAGATAAGAATAAGATATGAATAAGATACTTATGCCGGAAAGCTGGAGGTGATTAGGGAAAAGCAAAGATCCAGGGAAAGAGATATAGGAGAAATTGAGGATTGAGAGATCACTCTTGTTTACAGGGTGTAGGAGTGGGTGGGGAAAAGGGAATGAGATGAAAACTTCAGAGAATTCGAGGAAGGACTGGGACCGGATCTGGCCATTGAATGAAAAGAAGGATTTCCACAAGTGGAAGAAGTACATGGGGAGACCCCTGTGTGAATTCATGGAGATGGGAGAAGACAGAATAAGATCCAGCTAATGGTCTGATTTGGCTAGAATATTGGGTGTACAAAGGGGAGTTGAGTGAATCACCTCCTTCCCAGTGCCCTTCAAGGCTGGATACATCGCTCTTATTATATGTGTTGCTGTCTTAACCTTATGTGGGATCCTTGTTCTTGTTCTCAAGCATCAATCTATGTGGAGGCTATTCACATAGCCCCATTTGTAATTCAGACCCCACCAAGTTGCTATTTGCTTTTCATCCCCTTTGGAAGTTACTTTTATCCTGTGCACTAATGGGAGCTGGCTAAATTCTGCACCCCCTCCCCATTTTAGCTACAAATAAGTAGATTGTACTTGTGTGTCCTTCAAGAAGGAAAGTATTTTTAGACATTTCACAAAAGGCTTTTTTTCTTTGTTGCAAACCTCCTGGATTTATTCTGGGAATCAGTCCCTGCCCGCCTTTGCTTCTCGGCTGGCCTGTATCTAAGCTCTAAAGTAGAGAAAGCTTGTTATCAGTTTCACAATGAGGGAGAAAGTATGCCCTAGACTTTCAGATAGAAGACTTGGCCTGACTTCTGTTCTGAGCTCTGTCCCTAGGTGGTGGGAATTGTTGGGCAAAATCTAATCTCTGTCCAGTCAGCATTGTAAATGTCAATTTTGGTGACCTCAGACAAACGTTTCAAAAATAGCTCTGTGCCTTTGTTAATAGAGAAATAAACAAGATTGTCAGTAATAATAATAATGATAATTCCTGACATTTAAACAGTGTTTTGAGTGCCTTAAATACATTAACCCATTTGATCCTGGCAACAACCCTGTGACATGGCTCCTACTGATATTATTTCCTCCATTGTTCTGCCTCAGGAAACTGAGTCTCAGACTTGCCCAAGGCTATATAACTAGTGAGTGTCAGAGGTGGAATTTGAAACTTTGGGCTGTCCTGGAATAATGTATAGAAATCTGGGTCTGAAATTAGAAAGACCTGTGTTCAAATCCAGCCTCAGATACTAACTTGCTAAGTCACCCTGAGTAAGTCACTTAAACCACTGTCTGCCTTAGTTTCCTTATGTGTAAAATGGGGATAATAATAGCACATGGGTTATTGTGAGGATAAAATGAGACAATATTTGCAAACCTTGAAGCACTATATAAATGCTAAATATTATTACTTCAAATCCAGAAGAAAGCTGAAAGCAAGGAGCTTATTTGGAGGTATTCAAAATTATTCTTTCTCTCTGGCTTGGCTTTGGGCAGGCAAACTCCTTTTAACAGGCAGCTGGTAGTTACTTGCTACTCTTCAGATGGCCCAGAGGAAGCTTATTCTGGAGAGTTTATCCCCAGCTGCCATGTTGAGGCTGCCAAGCCCCCATAAACCCTCACTATGAACCAGTCGTCCCCAAGAGCCTTTTCCCCAAAGGTCCAGAGGAAAACTGATTTGAAATGGGATTTGAGTGTGAAATTGTTCTCTCCCAGCTATTGAATGAAACACCATGTGTTGGCCTGCCTAGAATGTCATTTAGTGAGCACTGCCAAACGGATTAAGGACACCAGAAGGACCTATGGCAGCCAAACAGACTTTTACCCATATTTCACAGAGAGCACTCACATTTTGACCTAGTCTTAGATGACAGCTCTGGGAAGAATAAGAACACAGAGATATTCCATCTTGACTGAGTCCTGGGAAAAGCATGAAGCTAGGGTGGGGGATCTGAATTGTGTGCCCTTCCCCACTGAAGCCCCTTTCCATTCCCCCTACCCTCTGCTCTTGGTGAGTTGCTGTTGTGAGTGATGGACGTTATGTGGGCAATGGTTGTGGAAGCAGCCACCTGGACAGGGCTGCTAAGCCATGGACACACAAAGACCCTGACACTTTGCCATCCCACTCCTATGTTCCTGGTGGGAGAACAGCCCTCCATTGTCTGAACACTCAATTCCAGGCTAACCCTTCCTCCTAAGAGGAAGAAGAAGAAAGGGAGGGAGGGAGAAAGACAAGCAGCTTATCCCTCCCTGGCTGCCAGCAAAAAAGAACAGGTGGTATTTATATCTTTTGCTTCCTAACTATATCCCTTTGTACTCCTACATATTTTTTCATTTGTTGGATTAAAAGGAAAAATGGTAGCCACCAAAATCCACTAAGGCTGATGTTTATTTTTTAGTGTGGGACAATTGAAAAGAGCTTGCGTTTTAAATGATGGGAAATATTGGTGAGAATAATCATTTCCTAGATTAGTTAAAGTGAATTATGGAGGAAAATCCTTATGTGACAATGAGAACTGAGGGTGTGATGCCATATCTGCTAGAAAGCACCGAAGCATTCTGCTTTCAGGTTATGGTAGCCGCTCACTTATTACCTGAGAGCTCTTCCAGCAACAAACATAGATTCTAAGAGTAAGGCAATAGACATCATTATTATTGAGACCATTAATCACTTTTACATGAGTATGCCTTTTGACTGCGTCATCATTTTATAGGTAGGATCCTATTGCTTGGCCCAAGGGGCCAAGTGTATGAAACTATCTCCTTATTGGTGGATATTGATTACTTCAATGTCCAACACCTGTGTGAGGGACAGGCAAAGTTGGTGAGAGTGGCAGAGAGGCTCTTCTGGCTTCTAGCTTCAAGAGAGAGGATGCATGATTCCAACCTCCCTTCAGGTCCATGATGGGAGAAAAACTCTGGAAAGAAGCTAACATCTAGAACTTCAATCCTGTCCCTGTTTCCATCTTGCTATACTAGAGACAAAGGAATTTCCTCTTCAGTAAGGCCTAAAATTCTTTCTTTGTTGAACTGAGTTATCTCACTCTCAATGGGGAGAGCTCAATTTCTCTGTGTATTGTCTGGTATATGTTGTCCTAGGTATAATTCCTCTGGTTTCTGTTTTGCTGTTGACTTGGATGAATGGGTTTCTTTGCTATTTGCTGTGTGTATTCAGTGTGCAACTGGCATTTGGTGGAAAGTGAGTTAAGTCTTGGATATAGAGCTTGTGACCTCCTTTTCCCACTTAGAAATAGTCATTAGGAGTTTAGCTTGAACCTAAAAATTGCTTCCTTAAGACTAATAATACTTAAGGGAGCAGATAGATATAACTCTAGCCTGAAGAGAACAGAGTGCCTGCCTTAGGTCCTCAAACCCTCCCTGTTACCCCTCCTGGCAGGAGTCAAAGTCTCTTTTGGTGTAGAGTGGGAGGAGGAGATGCTAGAGATGTCTATTCTTGCCTTCCCTTAAGCTACATCCAAACAGAGACCTACATAACCTATATGGGCCAAACAAAACAATAACACCTATGTACCTCCTCCTAAATCTACATGCCAATTGCCATATGTGGGAGTTCAGTGTTATAATGCTCATGTTATTATAGTTTACATGTTGTTGTTTTGTTGCTGTTCATCCTTTGTTCTCAAAGAGTTCCAATGACATCAGGAGGGTGATGTTTTGACTTGCAAGTGAATTGGATTTAAGTGGAGCAGAGCTGTGCAGAGTCATAAGCCTTACTCTTTCCTCCAGAGGCATAAGAGTCCAGAGGCAAGATACAGGTCAAAATGAATGGCAATGGTCCCAGATGAAGTGGAAGACCTTGGCCTTTTTAAGCTAAGGTTCTTCCCAGGTCTCACTTTGTCTGAGGCAATGCCCATTCAGTAAGTTAAAGGCTAGGTAAGAATTGAGGCAAAAGATGGCTTAGTTTGCCTTCATAAAAGAATCAGTCTGGGAGGGTAAGACCCTCAGAGTTTCTGGCCAGAATGGAAACAATTGCTATTTACACTCACTCTGAGACATCAAAACCCAAACAATGAGCAAGTGAGGCTTGGGCTGGGACCAATCAGTAAGCAATCAGTTAAAACCAGAGTGATTTGAGTTTAAAGGTATATAGTCAAGTAGCTCTATTTGAATCATAATGGGCTTTATAAAAGCTTGGTTTTACAGAGCTATATTTCAAGAAACCGGAAATGAAAACTACTATGAAAGAATTAATTGTCCCGATTTTTTGAAAAAAAATTAAGTTACACGTGGGAATCTCGTGAAGTACATTGTTACACATATTTGGTTTGTCAAATGCTTTGAGACCTTCGAGTCATAGAAAAGTCTATGATGATGGTGATAATACCAATCT